AAACCCAGTATAACATATGTTAATGTCTCCCTAGGAATGAAGGAGAAAAAAATACATATTTGATATAAAACTATTTACCCACAGCTTCTGTTTAAAATAACACCCAATTGAGATACAATTCATATGCCATACATTTTATCCTTTTAAAGTATCAAATTCAGTGGTTTAGTATAATCACAGAGTTATGAAAATAAACACCACTGCTTTCTAATTTCAAAATATGATTTTCACCCCAGAGAGAAATCTCAGTGCATTAGCAGTAACTCCCCACCCACTTATCCCTTACAACCTGGCAACTACTTACATGAATTCTAGTTCTATAGATTTGTCTATTCTGAATATTTTTAAAAAGAAGTAAGACAATTTACAGTCTTATGTTTTCAGACTTTCAGTGTTCATAAAGGTTATAGCAAGTGTCGGTGTTTCATTCTTGTAAATTGTTGAATAATACTCTATTTTATGGATATCCCCCTTTTTTTTAATCTGGTCATCATTTGATAGACTTTTGGGTTGTTTCCACATTTTGGCTGTTATTTGGAATAGTATTGCTGTGAACATGTGGCTACAATTTTTGTTCGAATACCTGTTCTTCGTTTTTTTGGATACATACCTCTGAATGAAATTGCTGGACTATTTGGTAAATCCATGTTAAACATTTTGAGCAAGTGTCAAACTGTTTTTCTAAATGACACATTTTACAATTCCATCACAAGGCTCCAATTTCTCCACATCCATGTCAACACTTATTATTATTAGTCTTTTTTATTTAACCATCCTACTGGATGTGAAGTGGTCTTATTGCAGTTTTGATTTACAATTCCCCAAACACTAATAATGTTGAACATTTTTAAGGTGCTTATTGACCATTTTAATGGTTTCTGTGTAGAAGAGCTATTTAAAACTTTGCCTGTTTTAACATTTCATTATTTGTATTTTCATTGTTGACTCGTAGAATTTTTTGTTCAATTTAGATAAAGTGCTTGTGCTTTTGGTGTCATATATAATAGACCATTGCCTAACCCAACATCAATGATATTTATGCCCACTTTTTCTATGAGTTTCATAGTTTTATTCTTACATTTAGGTCTGTGACCTATTTTGCATTAATTCTTGTGTATGGTATGAGGTAGTAATATAGCTTCATTCTTTGAAATATGGGTGTCCAGTTGTGTCAGCACCATTTTTGAAAAGTCTATTCCTTCTCCAATGAATCCTCTTATTTCCTTTGTTGAAAATAAATTGATCAGTTCATCACAATTCAACTTCCTTGTTCAGCTTGGCCTAGTTGGTCGAGTCATTATTTAAAATGGGGTATTAAAGTCACCAACCATTTTTGTTTCCTGTAGTTTTGAACTCTGTTATTAGGTACATATATGTTTATAATTATTATGTCTTTCTGAAGCATGGTCTCATTTATCATTATAAAATGTTTTTCTGTAGTAACAGTTTTGTCTTAAAATCTATTGTGTTTCATATTAATGTAGACCACTCTTGCTCTTTTTTTTTCCTTTTGCTCCTTTTATTTTCCCCCTGTTGTCTCCTGTATACAGCATAGAGCTGGATAATGTGGTTTTTTTTTTTAATCCATTCTGCCAATCTTTGCCTTTGGAGTGTTCAGTCCATTTATATCCAGGATAACAACTCATAAGTTGGCATTAGTCTGCTAGTTTGATATTTGTTTTCTATATGTCTGATATCATCCCTCTAGTCCTCCATTACTATTTTCTTTAGTGTAAAATATATACTTTTCATGTGCTATCTTAACTACCTTATTTTACTCTATATTTTACTCTATATTTTTAGTATTTTCTTTGTGCTTGTTTGCAGATTAAAATTAACATTAAAAAATTAACATATTAAGATAATTCAGTTTGGACAAATACCAACTTATTTTCAGTAGTGTATAAAAAGTTTCCTTTGATAAAGTTCCATTCTCTCCCTATTATTTCTTTTTTTGGCTATTATTGTTATACAACTTCTTCATACATTATAAGCCAATCAACACTGTTTTGTAGTCATTGCTTTATGTGTTGCTTTTAAATTAGATAGGAGAATAAAAGAATTAAAAAATACATTTGTAGTATAGTACTTATTACCTGTGTAATTATATTTAATGACACTGTATTTTTATGTGAATAAGTTATTTTTCCCCATTTCTTCTTCAAATAGTCCTTCTACCTCTTTCTCCCTCTCCTCTCCTTCCAGGATTCCCATTATAATTATGTTAATACATTTGAATATGTGTTTTAGTTCCCTGAGCTCCTGTTCATTCTTTTTTCTGTCTGGCACTCAGATTAGATAATCTCAATTGACCTATTTTTTAGTTCACTGATTCATTCTTCTGCCAACTGAAATGTGTTATTAAGCCTCTCTAGTAACTTTTTTCATTTCAGTTGTTATACTTTCCAACTTCAGAATTTCTATTTTGGTTCTCTTTAAAATTTCTGTCTCTTTCTCTTCAGACTCATATAGCCTTGAAAACTAGTAGTCCCACTGCCACAGTAGCTATGAAAACTATCAACCTAACAGACATTGAAAGGGGCAGATCAGATTTGGTGCTCATCAAAAAGTAACATTTCCAGAGAACTGCCACTGTTTAAACTATAGCCCCATGGAAGAGTCCAGTTTATCATATTTGCTATTATTTGACCTGACTCAGAGCTTCTCAGTGGAAAGAGCCCTATACCCAGGGCATATCTCAAAGAGAAAAAAAGCAGAAATTGTTTAACATAGTAGTTGCGTTAGACAGTGATACCAGTTGATTCAAACAAGAGGATGACCAAAAAAAAAAATCTCATCTGGAGAATGAGATATCCAGATGGGGCTTTACAAATATCTAGCTTATTTCTAGGGACTTAGCAGACCACATGCATGTACAGGGATGTATCTGTAACCATGAGATTGCTGAAAAAACCCTGAAACTTATTTATAACTCTCCACAATCAGGAAGTGATGGCTAAGGCAGAGTTGCAAGTTGCTGGAGAATGGTAGGTGTGCCCCAACACAAAAACAGGGCCTCTCATCAAGTTGTCAAAGATTTATTGGTTCAAGGCATTTAAACGAATTGCCATCCAATTATTTGTCAACAACTGAGCTAACTAGCTGCCCAGACTTCAATGGTCACACACAACAGGGAATAGTGACTTTGAGAGTTAAATTTAACAAACAAAGAACAACTATCACAATAAACAGGCGCACTAAAACTCTTTGGGTAACATAATCTGATTTTCAGAGAAGACACATTATAGTTTTGGACAGTTGGTTTTGTTCAGATTTCGACAAAAAAGTTAGGAAATATGCAAAGAAACAGGAAAGTATGACCCATAAACAGGAAAAAAATAAAACAGTAAATAGAAAAGATGCTCTTTTAGCTATCCTGACATTTTCAGCAATTAAAATTATATTTATTGAGAAAAAAGACTAAGCACTTCTTAGAAAATTTAAAATTTCTTGAATATCATACCAGATTAAAAATAATTATGCTTGACAATTCACTCTCAATAGTCATAAAAACAATAGTGATTCTAGACATTAAACTAATTAGCATTAATTTTAATCTAAATTTTTCTGTTTATAATTAGTTTCCAAATTATTATCTTTGTAATATGGTATGTATGAGATGAATAAATTACGCTTTGTCTCTATTTTTAAGCAGTGAGCACAATAGTTTTCCTGAAGATCACCAGTTCGGTAGAGCAACCAATTGTTTCATTATTTTATCACCATTTATCAGATATCCATCTTCAATTAATCAGCTACTTCACACACCCACATGATATCACCAGAATAAGTTAGATTTCTGATATTTTGTTCTAAGAATTTCTCTTAACGGTCAGATGCAATGTGATCTGTACTTAAATATTAACTCTAAACGTGTGTAAAATTATCAGTCTACCTTATTCATTGCATTGTCAGACACATGCAAGATTAGTAAATCTATCTTAAGAATATTGTAGTGACCTATAAATGGTGGAATTTTTTAATAATAGGTTTTATTTCAATTACATCATTGACTATTAATATAGAATTTATACAACTCAATGTTACTGCTACTAATTTTAATATTTTAAATTAACACAATGTATAAAATAGTATACACTGATAATGTTTGTTAAGAATTTTTCTCTAAAATGGGGAGGTAACAATCCATTGTAGAACTTTTAAATCCACAAAAAACAACTAAAAATATGAGTGAATAGTACTTCTGGAAATTTACTCCTCATAAGAGCAACCAAAATCCTGACAACATTGTCAAAATAACTTCAGCATCCTAAATATTATCCAAAGGCTTGCAACAATCTGAAGAGTGCTTATTCAAGAAAAATTGTTCAATGTAATTAAGGACAGTAGCTGTGTGATGGATTAATTCCTCTGTTCTGTCCCTTTCTTCTCAGACCCATAATAGCAATTTATTCTTTTTTAACTTCTTTCATACTGTTATTGTATGAAACAAAAAAATCCTTAAAATTTTTATCAACTTTCCAAAGAATATTCATAATTTCTCAGCAGCTGTCCTTCAATCTAATTTCTATAAATCCCTTATCTCTTAATGTTCTTCCCTCTCTGACTCTGTCCAGTTGTCAAAATTGATAATTTCCTATTTCTTCCTGATGTAATCAATACTCACAAATATAAACCAATGTCTGAAACACTGGTTTTCAGAGCAAGTGTCGTTCCTTGTGGAACCTCTATATATATCTACACATATAGATAGAAATAGATATAGAAGTTGGTGAAAATGCTATATATATCACCAACAAGAAAGGATAATACACAAAGGCTTAAAAATTCTGTTTTTTTTCCTCAAGTGCACATGAAGTTGTAATTCTGTGCAAAGACATACTAAACAAATATTAACTTTGTCCTCTTCAATTATTTCTAATTTTATGAAAATGTTTATTTTCACTTTCTTTTCTTTTTTCCTCAGTTTTCTCCATTCAGAAAGCTCGTAAATATCTCTATTTTTCATATAGATGAGATATTCTTCCACTAACTCAAACTCAATAGAGCCAAGAACGAAAACAAACCTTTGAGTACAGGTTTTTTTCCTTTTCCTTCTCTCCTTTTTCATCTCTCAAGTTTCGTCCAGTCTCTGTGACCTTCTCAACTCTGACTAGCCCAATTTCATCCTTCATAAAAAACTCAAAAACTGCGAGAAAGTCTTTAATAGAAAACCATTAAATTTCAAAGTCCATTTTTACTGAAATCTTAAGTCTTTACTCAAAGCCATAAACATCACATGGATATATATTGTAGATAAATAGAAGAATTTGAAGAGTGGTGGGCAATCCAACTAAGGAAGGCCAGTACCTGAATTTGACACTAGGTCCCTATGGCCTGTCAAGAGATTACGGAAACTCCAATATAGAAAATCAGAGAGACAGATGAATAGAGAATAGAAAAGGCATTCCATAAAATTGGGTATATAAGAAATGAGTGCTCTGCTTGAGGAGATAAAGCCAGAAGGTTTAATCAGGACTCCCTCATCTAACAGAACAGGGACTTAGTTCTCATGCCTAGAAAACAGATCAATAATGTGGATATTACACTAAAAGAAAAACCAGGAGTGTAAGTCCAGACATGAACTAAACCAGTGAATAGGCTGAAATTATGCTAGATTTCCCAAAACAAAACTCAAACTGCTCCTGAGGGGACAGACCTGATAGTTCAGTGGCCCTTGCTGTAGGAATTGCTGGGGACAGGTCAGCTGACAAAACCAACTAATTTTTTTTCTTATCAGTTCTATGTCAAACCTTTCCTTCTGTTTTCATCCCTCCACTGCTAATGCTAGAACTTGGTACTATAATTGTCTCATTGACCAAATACAATTGACATTATTTTCATTTTTTTTGGCCTTCAGTATCAGTTTTAAGGTCTTTTTTTCCTCACACTTTCTCTAATTCTCCATTTTTCCCTACCTCACTTTCTAACTTTAAAACAATGTATAATGGTGATATTTAATAATTCCAACGATTGTATATTTTTTCTCCTGCTTTCACTGGCCCATACGCTCATCTGCATTCAAATCTATCTTTCTTTTCTCTTATCTCAACATTTCCTTTTTGCGAGAGGTTTACAGAGGTCATGATCCTTGCACCACGCACTAAAAACATCGTTTTTGCACTAAAAAAAACCAGGCCTTCCAAACCTTATCCCCATATACAAAGAAAGCTAGCAAGTGCTTTTGGCTCCTGTGTGTGGACTGAAAGCTGTGTCCTCACTGTGCCACTTTATGTACCACACCTGTATCTCATCCTAGGATCTAGTTACATGACTTTCCTTCCAAATATAAGCTTACAGTTTTGTAGGTTGTACCTCAATAAAGCTGATTTTTTTAAATTAGAATTATTTCCTATGTCTGACATGATCTGTTACTCTGCAATTAGATATTACACTTCTCCATATATTTCACCCACTTTGAACCTCCAAACATCCAAACTGACTCTACTATTCAGAATACAAAATTCTTCTTAATATCTCGAGTTGTCCACATCCTACTTGACTTCATGTGTACATTTTCTAACCTGTCTGATGATTTTTGTGTTGGTGCCCTCCCCTCCTTATTCTGTAGCTACCCACTATGGTTAAACACTGACAATTTCTTGAAATTGCCTGATACTCCTTTTAAAATGAACAAATCGTCACATCCTGCAACACTTAAACTTTTCTATCCCATATTTTTCAAAAAGTATAGCACATTCAATAATTTATCTCTCCATGATGGATATATTAATTAGTTTGAATGCAGTAAGCATTCCACTATAGATATAAATATCTCACTATACACCTTAGTATAAATAATTTTTATGTGTCAATCAGTGCAATAAATCTGGGGATAAATAATCTGTTTCTCTTCCCCTTACTATTAAGTAAGTTCAGTGGAATTGTGGAATTAATATCTGGAGGATATTTTGAAGCCATTTAGTTAAGTCATCACTTTTTTTATCTTAAGTTTAGAAATATATTAACTTTTCCAAGATCTGGGAACTTCTTAGGGCAGGGCCTCTAATATCCAGTCTGACTCTCAAAATTGTTTTAATACTTTCTGTCAAAATATATACAAAGTATATATATATATTGTGTATATCATATATATGACATATATACAAATAAATATATATGTGCATATCATATATATATATATACACCATTGATGGTTTGTCCAGGGAGCTTCCAAATCTCTGTGGAATTTCAATGAGCTTTTTCCTTGATCTTATTGCTCAAGGGTTAAAAAATTATTTTAATTGGATATTGGTAATAAATTGTGTTTTCTTGTCTTAATCTTTAACTAGAAAACTGAGAAAACTTATTAACTGTAACCTGTGCCACTATCTTTATCTAATGAAAAAATAAAACAGCTTTAAGTTAATTCTCATCATTTCCTCCTCCTTGAATTTTCTGAGTGTTTTTATCATACACTTGAGTATTAAAGTTGAAACATAGGAAATATTTCAGAATTACTTTTAGTCCTTGAAGGAAAAGGAAAAAATCCTGTACTCAAAGATTATGTAATATAGTAAAAATTCTAGCTATTGTTTCCAGAATACAGCTAGTCTCAGCATTCCATAATTCACTTCAAATTTTATAAAGGTTCTATAAATTCACCTTATAATATTGAAACATTGCACCTAAATTTGAATCATTTGTGAAGACTGCTACCAGAACCTTCTATTCACAAGAGACTAATGACCCATTAGTTTCAACAAAATGACCCATTAAGATAAAATGAACTTGGCCGTGTGAAAGGCTATTCAATTCCACAAAGAGTTTAAGTGTGGATTTAGATTTTACTTTGCAACATTAAATAAAAGTGCTCATTATCTGGCCAAAGATAGGGAAGGGCATAATTGAAGTTTTCTGTGTCAAAAGTAGAGACAACGTCCTCATTTCTTTTTAAATAAAAGGAAGTAAAAATGAAAGTGGACTGGAAATCCTGAGACTTCTAATTTACCAGGAGCTTTCAGCCATCCTTTTAGATTGAACAATTCAGATAATTTATGTTTGACCCTTAAACAACAAAGGTTTGAATTGCATGGAATGGGACCACTAATATGTGGGTTTTCTTCAGAAGAACTGGAAAATTTTTTGGATATTTGCAACAATTTGAAAAAAATTCTCTTTCTCTAGCTTACTTTATTGTAAGTATATGGTATCTAATGCATATAACATACATGTATGTAACATATGAAATATGTGTTAATTGACTGCTTATGTTATTCTTATGGCTTCTAGTCAATAACCCATTAGTTGTTAAGCTTTTGAAGAGCCAAAAGTTATACATGAATTTTTTACTCTATCTGGTTATACACCTCTTATCCTGGCATTTTTAAAGGGTCAGTTGTATTGTCTGGTAGCACATAATATTAAAGTCATCATGGTTCACACTCAGCACTAATTTATTAACTTATTCAAGTATTCATTCAATGATTTTTTTTAGTGCCGATTGAGAGAAGGCATTGCACATTTGCAAAAAAAAAATGTATGAGTAGTTCAGGGAGTCTGGGCTATAGAATGCAAGTGGGAGAATAGGAGATGAAGATGAATAGATAAGGAAGGACAAGATTTTCCTGTTTTTCAATTCATTTGTGGTCATGCTTTCAAATGGGAGTGGAAGGAAGATTTATTAGACAAAATGCTTATGAACAATTGTACCTTAGAACATTTAAATTTAAAAATAGATATTTTAAGTCCTTCATTAAATATGGGGAAGAAAATTGAACTAGAGATTGAGACAACATTTTAGATCCTAGCTCTGTTATTAGACACAAGAATAGTTTCCTCCACTACCTGATCTCTGAAACTTAACTTGTTTTCGTTTGTTTGTTTTAAAGCTATGAAATGGAGAATGTTTACTGCACTGGAAAGTAAGAAGGGCAAATGTTATGCTATCCCTATGAAGACACCTGAACAGCTATGACAAATTATAAATGTAAGATTTATGGAAAACCAGTGATGATGCAATACTTTATTTTTTATTTTATACTTGAGTTTGTTTGGTTTATGGTGAGCTGAAAATGTTGCAGTTCTAAAAGTTGCACTATTTGATCACTAATTGAAAGAGTTATCTTCATTATCTATTAGCTTTGAAATCATTACTTTGTGCCGATGAAAAATTATGCAATAACCATGGTAGTCCTACTACTGGTAAGAGGCCATAGAATCAAAATCAGAATATATTTCAAATCCATGGAATCTACTGGAACAGAGTTACTAAAACCGGTAATACACAGATTTTTTATCATTTTTAAAATGAGCTCACTTCTAATATTTGCATTTAAATGTGTTTCCTAAAAATATTTAATTACAAAAATTTACTACTTATTTATAGTGTATTGATGATATATTAACTACCTTAAAGGAGAAAATGCAACAGTGAAGTTATCCATAGACAGTGCCATTATTTAGGCCTCTGATTCTTTGTCTGACATGAATATTTACTGTAACAAATAAATATATCAAAAGACACAATTATCCAAAAAAGGAGAAATGTGCTACATGAGTGTTAGTGAATCCAGGGATAAGGGAATTTCAGGAGAAGTAATTGGAGGAAGAAAGTAAAAGCATAAGTAAAAATTTGAACTTTAAATTATGAAAGTATTGGATACTTTTACTCTGGGTTTGTTGTAATATAAATATAAATACTATATTTTTAAATACATTCATGACCTTAAGTAAATCAATGTAGAATATAACATGGTACTAAGGTGTATCCTAAAATTTCTCTTAACAAGGCTTCAGTTTATAATAATTTAAATGGAAATAATGTCATCCTCAGCGTCAATGCTACTCATTATTTCCCCAGATCAAGAGCTAGTGAGTTGAAGAATTACTTAATGATATCACTGTAATTGAAGTTGGCATAATAGATTTGCTCATCTTACAGTCTGCTGACTAGAAAACTTTATAACTCAGTGTTTTCAAAAGTTGACAATTGGAAATATCAAAGAACTTTATAATTTGCAGAATGATACTGCTAATAATAATGGGTTTCCTTATAGTAAAAAGTGAGACTAACAAGCTGGAGGGCAGAAACACCCTTTTCAGCTGAATTTTATTTCTAACTATGGCAAGAAATTGACATCAATTTCAACCATGTTCCAGAAGGAAAAGTAGGATAGGTTAGCTACAGCAAATTCTGACTCCTATTGAAACCACTAAATA